ACTTGTTGAGGCATGGAGAATAGCATTAACAGCGAGCACGGTAGGAGGGACCTGGCGCCAAAACACTAGCGCATGCACCTTCAATAAATTGGTTATAAGCAAAGTTTTATTTTAATATAAATTATAAAAATTAAGCTAACGTGTAAATGATACGCTGCGCGAACGGCTTCGCTATGAAAAGCCAATCGACCACTTGCTGCGCTTGGTTGATCGTCCCTCGTTTTTGTGGTAGGCACAGAAGAAGGGAATTCTGCTGCCCGCGGTACGAGTTTAATGGCCGTAGATTTTATTGAAGATGTCCTACAGGGTATAAACAGTGATATTGTTCCTGATATCTATGGGATTAGTCGTGAACTTGGATTCTTAAATGGTTTGCCAGAATGCATTAGTTATCTTCTTTTGAAGGGATAATTAAAAGAGATGTTGTTTCCGGAGGTACACTTCTACTACCTTTTACTCTTTTCCCTTCATATTTTCCAAAGGTTTTGTATGAGTATGCTCTCCTGGTCCAGCCAGATTTTAATTTGCTTTACCACAAAGCTGCTTTTAGTCATGATCTTTTAAAAACCGTCATTGAACCGTAACAATCACTTTTTCTTCTTGATTTTATAATAGCACAATTAATCATGATCCATATATTTTCCATCTATGGAGTATATATACAAGGTTAAGGAAAGAAAATTTCCAACAAGTGCGTCATGTTACCTAACCTACGTTTTAGGATATCATTTTAGGACTTAATCGCTCTGATTACATGGTGCATTTGAATGTGAATGCGCCTCGAGAAGATCACTTGTCCAATCTACCGTCATTTTGTGCAAGTGTACGACTTAATAATGAATCACAAAACCTTGCAAAGTCCACACTAATTGAACACTCTTTGAAAGCTTACAATGTTTCTGGCATGTCATTGAAACAAGTTGAATTCAATATGATGGCCTCTAGTTTTGGTGGAATGATGCAGAGACTTAGCCGCCAACACAAGACTTTGCTATCTATTTTCGGCATTGCAACATCACCTAGTGAAGTAATCCTAAAAAATTTCGCATTCTTACCCACTAATCTTTTTGCAGTTGCCGAGCTGTCAGCCGTCTTCTGGTTTTGCCCAAGCACTCTTAAAGGCCTATTCCCTATACATTTCTGATTTACCTGCTGATTATCTCTGCCAAGTGGCTTCTGCCCCAGCCATACTTTTTATTGTATCTGATGATGAATCAAACATATATGATCAATTAGATTTGATTGATGCTGTTGAACAAGAGGCACAAAAGCGGTTTTCTCATTCGGTGCCTCGTATTCTGAGACGTTCCTTTGAATATTTTAGGACTCCTGGTAAACTTGTTCTTGATCCTGACAGAAGACTTTTCGTGTGGGTCTTTGCAATAGAGGCGGCCAAAATTGTTTTTATTGTGTTCTAATAAACTTAAATATTATAGCATATGATTCCTATTTAGGGAACTTTTCAACTGGAGCTTTCTTATCTATGCTATGATAACATGGATATACCCTTATGGTTTTTGAGCCTATCCACAATTATGCAATATTCTTTTATCACTGATTAGGCTCTTCTCATAATGTCCTTCCTGTCATTTCTCATTATATCTAGAGTATTCCTTTAACTTCTCTGTTATCACTTACTTGACAATATTGATTGAAATAGTGAATGACCTCTATTCATTGGGCCTTGTCTATTATTTTATTATCTCAAAAGAAATGTCATCTCATAATTTATCTGTATAAATACACATGATCTTATAGCTATTTTCGCCTCGCAACATATGATATTATTATATATTTAATCCACTGTGCGGCTCATCTTTTATTTTTATGATTCCTTCGAGACGCGTTATAGAATTCATGCATCATGATATCTGATCTTCTACTAGCCATTAGCTTATATATTCATATTTTGTCTTGCTATTAATTTGGTGTTTTAAATTTATTGTTCAAACTATTACATATTTCTGAGAGCGTAAATACAATACCTTTTGAAAATTAATTAATTATTTTTAAAAAAATATTATTTTACTACATTTTCAGCGATGGAGCTCACATAGCGTTAATATACTTTCGCCACGGATACTCCCCTGATCACTTTCCTGACGAGCAGGTATTTCTTATTTTCCATGCAAAACCCTTAAGATGATTTTATTCGTTTTTATCACTATGCGCCTTTTTTTATTATTATCGAGATCTAAATATAGTGGATTAATTACTAATGAAAAGTATTAAGTCATTCCGATTCTTTTTAGCTTGCAGTAATATATTTATCAGGTTTCTATGACTTTTATCTTTTTATATTTACACAGCGGCCACGCGAAGCCTAATTTACCTTAACTCAAAATAAATCTATTCCAAATTTGTTTTTCTATTTATATTATATGGCTTTTTGTTCTGATACCTCTAGATATGGGAGATTAAATGGGATCTTGAAAGTTCTCGAGCAATTAAATGTCCCTGTATACAATACATGCTGGCAAACACGAAGTTGATACAAGCTGCATTGGCAAGTCCTAGAGTAATCGAGGACTTGCTGACTGGGTCTAGTTTGACCTGTCTCACTACAATAGCGTCTATCTCTCCGGCTCAATATACTTCACCTTCCAATAATCTTCAAACTCAGCTTCAGCCTGAAAATACGTTTACTCAGATTGCTCGTCGTTGTCGACTCACCTTTGCTCGCCAGTTGGCTCTTAGCCCTGATTTGAACCTCTCTTCTCAGGAAGACATTGATCAACTAGTCCGCGAAGCGCTATCTGATCCGGATAAGTTTGTTCTTAAACCCCAACGAGAGGGAGGAGGAAACAACTACTTTGGAGGTTGGTAAAAGACCCTAAAATTGCCATATTTTACATGAATTATTCTCCTCACTAGTATTATTCACCTGCTAATCTATTTTGGTCTCAAATTTAGGATAACATAAAATTAATGCCCGAATGATAACTTATGAACTATACATTTTAGAATCCTCTAATCACCTTCATTTACATGTTTGCATGTATACAGCTTTGGATGCCGGTGCATTTGCTAGTGTGATATAAGCAAACTGAAGTCGCAATTATACATCTATTATGGAAACTGGGCACGATTCTTACATTTCCTGATAACTATAGTTAATTCTCACCTTGTTAACTAGCTCGTTAACGGATAACGAGGATAATTTCGTGTGAAGAGCAAATGATTGTAGGTTATGAGTGTAGGAAGTTATTTCCACTTAGGATGGACCTATGCGAGTTTCGACCAAGAAATACTTAACTTTGTGCGAATCACAGTTAATTGATGAAAACATAGTCTTTCAAAAATATTTAAACAGCCTGGGTTTGTAATTAGTAATCGGTTATGTTAACATGGCTGCTTGTCCTTAATTTAGGTACTCACTTGGTCACAACTATCATGAATCAAATTATTAATATTGTATTTTATCCCAAACTATTCCTATAACAACATTGATAATTTTGGCTTATCCACTATTACGCCAACCCCTAAATAGCATTAATGTCCAACTTAAGATGTTTCTTAGGTGTCGTGCTCTTCAATTAATCATGAGGCTTCATTCGTCCACTGTTTATAGTAATATGCAAACTTATGTGACAGCTTTTCTTCCTACTGTATGCTGATGAGTTTGCACTAAATGAGGAAAATTGCGCTTTATATATTCTCAATTAATCCGTAATTCTATGATATATTCAAGTAGATAAGAATAGAAACTGGGTTTCGATAAATGTTCTTAGATAACATTGTTGGGGGGACTTTCATTTCGTATGAAACTGCATGGAGGATAGATTCTTACGTTGATCTCACCAGAAGAGGACGGATGAATCCAGTTTTACTGCAGCAGTTTGGCTTTTATACGACGTTTAGGTTGACGCAGTCCACGAGACTTCCCTCGTTTCGGGTAAAAAATGGCGGAGCTATCGTTCATCATATGATGGACATCATCAGAGCTGGGTCTCATTCCTGTAAAAGTTTCACGTTAGCACACAAGCCAAAGGAAATTAAAAACCTAGATAGATAGATATAGAGTGGTTTGGCTAATTATCTTCCATACTGGTCAAA